GGGAAGCTTTACGAAGCTGTGGTTCTTATCGATAACAATCCGACCCCAGGAGAAATTTAGCTGTTCATCCTCGAACGCCTTGCGACAAACAAGCATCACAAGTCGACAATGAGTTGGTTATAACACCACGAGCGCCATGAAGAGATACACAAAGGTCTGCACTGGCCATATCAGAACCTCTAGGTTACCGATAACTTGCCAAAGACGATGGCTTTCCTACGACAAATCCGAATTGAGCAAAACGGCCCTGTTGAACCAGATCGAATCGGAACTTGATCAAATGGCGAGCGGCAAACGAGCGAGAATCCATCCCGAAGACAAGACTGTAGACACAGATGCTGGAAGACTACCTATATCCCCCGTGATGGACTACAAGTTCATGCAGGCGAGGCGACGTACGAAGAAAGCGATGCCCACGGCCATATCAGGACAATTTCGGAAGAAGCTATCAAATAACCCATACGCGGAGGCATTGATGGGTCCGACAAGATGGTGCAAGAATACGAACGCTTGCCTCCCTAGATACTTCTTGCAGGACTTCGAATTGGTCGAGCATCCAGATCCTGAGGAGAAGAGCCACTGGTGGGCACCAGGTCCATTTTCTTTCTTGAGAGTCAAGCCGACAAGAGAAGAGCGAGAGGTGGAAATAGACTCTAACGACATAAAGTCAATACTGAAGGGGGTTGAAAGGGTGCGAAGACAGATCGGGCTTGTACAAAACGAAATCGAAAAAATGGCTACAGAAGCCACTTCGACGAGAGGCGACATATCAGCGGAAGCCAGAACGACCTCAACCCAAGCAACATCTGGAGATGCAGGCACCGAAGCTGAGACAAACACAGAAGTGGGCGTTGATGATGTGGAAATAGACGAAGGACTGATAGAACGACGAGCTCGCATTGTCGCCTACACTATCTCGCGCAAAAGCCTGATCGATATCATCGGAGGAGTCAGTGGAAAGAAGGGTAGCAGGGGTTATCAAAAAAAGATGAATTCCCACCAAGGCATGGCATACCTTCCACATGATGTCGAACGAAAGATTTTCCGAACAGACATGGGCGATGTACTTCTTGGGATGTTTCGACGCCTGGCTGTCGATACACTCATCACACGCTCTTGCAGGGAAGGCTTATGGGCGCCACACAAATTCATAAAGCCAGTTGCTAGCTGGGAAGAGGCGAAGGGAATTTCAGGAGGTGGAGCAATTCTTTATATTCCGAAGGAGGATATGGAGAACACGAGCAGTTATGCGACTCTTGATGTAGAAGATGCTTCTTACGGCAGTAAGATGGCAGTTCATGATCTACGATACTTACTAGGAGAGGATGAGCTTGAGAGGCTGAGAGAGAAGTCACAAGTATTCCGAGATCATGAGATTTTGGTGTTGAAGAACTTTAGAAGTGGGAGCATGAGAGCTTTGCATCTGCTTCTCTGGAGACTGCAAGGATACTTGGCGACGCCTCAAGTTGAGCCCATTGAGGGAAAAGAAGACTAAGCATTGTAAAATAGAAAGATACCATGAATGAACAATAAGATGAAGCGTATTGTTTGTATGATGTTTGTATGATGTTTGTCAGGCCGGCCTTCAATCACGGCCCAGCCCCGCAATTGCCGATGGCGCCAGGTGTCACCGCCGCCGATAGACTCCGAAGGTCAAAGATCCGATACGAGTTAGACTCGGTAGCACAGCGTGATCATTTGTTCGGTACCCGTGTATCGGACCTGTTAGACATTCGTTTGTTCTTTGCACTTATTCTTGAAGAATACTCTTTTGTTCTCTTTTGAGCGAATTATTGTTCAGCATTTGATCGTTTGCAGGATTTGATCTCAGCATACCTTCCTAGATAAGGATCACGCTCAGCCCAGTTCTTACTCTCACTCACCATACACAACTCAACCATACACAACTCAAGTAAGAACTAAGCACGACAAAATTGCAAATCAGAGGATCGCATCAGCATTGGAAATCGACCATGGACACGAACCCTGAAATAGTCCAGCCTGCGGACTGGCAGACTGGAGAAGCTGTCCCGGTCTTTCTCATCCATGATGGCGGCGGCACCACATTCTCATACCACTGCTTAGAACCTCTCCGTCGCCCAGTCTACGGCATCTACAATCCCAAATTTCACAGTGGCGAGCCTTTTGACGGCGGTCTAAGCGACATGGCCCGTCTCTACACAGGCTGGATTAAAGAAACCGTCGAGAAGCCCGACTTCCCTAGACGTCGCAACGCAGCTGGAAAGATCCGACTTCTTCTTGGCGGATGGAGCATGGGCGGCCACTTGAGTCTTGAAATCGCAAAGCAGCTTGAAGATTCCAACATCGACGTCATCGGAATTCTCATGGTCGACACAATCTACCCTCACAAGTTCTCCAGTGAAAAGCGCAAGAGGCCCAGCGAAGACTCCAAGGAGGGAAAGAACAAGAACCAGATCCTGGCAGATCTAGCTATGGCTGATGCACGCCGTATGATTCAAGCTTGGACACCTCCGGTCTGGGAGGCAGGACGTCGGCCCCGGATTAGTCTCCTCCGGGCCAAGAAGGCCGTGCCCTCGCCGGACGGGAATGACCTTGTGGACTGGAGCCGTGAGGAGAGGAATCTGGGGTGGGATATGTACGACAAGAACTTTTTTGCTGATGTAGTGGATATTGAGGGACATCACTATGAGGTTTTCAAGTTTGAGTTTATTGAGGATATTTCGAACAAGATGAAGAAGGCACTGGATGATTTGGAGTGGGTGGCCTTGGATGGATGAATATTGATGATGAGAGGTTCAACTGCTTAGCATGGGACATTGAAGAATTAGACGAAGACATGGTGAGTGTGTTGACTGTTTACACGAGTTGGCACTGATGGCTATTAGAATACGAATGAGACTTGATAGAATTAGAGACAAGAGTACAAAGTCATAGAAATTATGTAGATACATTCAGAACATGAACACTTCAATGATACAGCAGGGGTCTGTATGGTCCGCCGGTGTCGCTCTCAGTTGGTGACAAGATGACAATACCATGCACTCTCTACTCAACATCGACAGACTGAATGCAATAAGAAACAGCATCTAAGTATTTGAATAGAGACTCATAAAAAGGCCGGATCCTCGGCATCATGGACGATCTTACATTGCATCAGTAGCTTCAATCAGACGAGTTCAGTGGATAACTCTATCCAAAGTGGACTCCAGCGCTTAAGCCTCCCTCCGGACTTGAAGCACCTCCCCCGAAGAACCATCTCCATGAGGTCACCCAACCAATTAAAACACTCCAATTGTCATGCGGGGAGCTCTTCGCACCCTGGACTTCTCCCCTCTCCCAGTCACAGGGAAGATCACAGGGAACCTAAATTTTGGGAAACAAAACCACAGCCGACATCGCAAGCCTGAAAAAGTCCACAAACTCCATCCCACCGCTTTTACTCAGGCGTCGGACTCTTTTCCATACGCAATTTGAGTTTGTGGTTGAAGCTTCAATTGACGGTTTTTCTTCTTTTCTCCTTCGCACGTGAAAAGTCGTCATTATGCTTTCTAGGTCGTTGTTGAGGTCTAGAGCTGTGGGAGCTTTCCCCCTCTCTGCGAGGAGCAATGGGTAAGTTATCCCATCTCGAACAAATCAATTGGAAGCTCAATTATCTCCTGATTCCTGACTCCTCTACAGCCGCTTCTTCTCCGCCTCTGCCCTCCGCGCCGATGACAAGATCAACAAGGTCTCCGCCAACATCACCCAGCCCAAGGCCCAGGGCGCATCCCAGGCTATGCTCTACGCCACTGGTCTCTCAGAGGATGACATGAACAAGGCTCAGGTTGGTATCTCGTCCGTCTGGTACGAGGGAAACCCTTGTAACATGCACCTCATGGACCTCTCCGCCGTCGTCAAGGAGTCCGTCGCCAAGGCTGGTCTTATTCCCTACCGATTCAATACCATTGGTGTCTCTGATGGTATTTCCATGGGTACAACTGGTATGCGATACTCGCTCCAGAGTCGAGAGATTATCGCCGATAGTATTGAGACTGTCATGAATGGTCAGTGGTATGATGGAAACATCAGCTTGCCTGGTTGCGACAAGAACATGCCTGGTGTCGCCATTGCAATGGGCCGTGTGAACCGTCCCAGTATCATGGTCTACGGTGGCACCATCCGTCCCGGCTGCACCAAGCAGGGCGAGTCCATCGATATCGTTTCCGCTTTCCAGGCCTACGGTCAATATATCACCGGTGAGATCACCGAGGAGGAGCGATTCGACATTATCCGAAATGCCTGCCCTGGTGGTGGTGCCTGTGGTGGCATGTACACTGCCAACACCATGGCCACTGCCCTTGAGACTCTTGGTCTCACTCTTCCCGGTAGCAGCAGCAGCCCTGCTGAGGATCCTAGCAAGAAGGCTGAGTGCGAGAGCGTTGGACCTGCTATTCGCAACATTCTCAAGGAGGACATTCGACCTCGCGACATCATGACTCGCCAGGCCTTTGAGAACGCCATGATCGTCACAACCATTCTTGGTGGCAGCACCAACGCCGTCCTGCACCTTATCGCCATTGCTGACTCTGTCGGTATCAAGCTCGACATTGAGGACTTCCAGAAGGTTTCCGACCGCACTCCCTTCCTTGCTGACCTGAAGCCCTCCGGAAAGTGGGTCATGGCCGATATGCACAAGATTGGCGGTACTCCCGCTCTTCTCAAGTTCTTGCTCAAGGAGGGCATCATTGATGGCTCTGGCATCACCGTTACTGGTAAGACCATGAAGCAGAACGTCGAGAACATGCCCGACTTCCCTGAGGACCAGACCATCATCCGACCCCTGAGCAACCCCATCAAGCCTACTGGCCACATCCAGATCCTCCGCGGTTCTCTTGCCCCTGGCGGCTGTGTCGGTAAGATCACCGGTAAGGAGGGTCTCCGATTCGAGGGTAAGGCTCGCGTCTACGACTCTGAGCCCGATTTCATTGCCAGTCTCGAGGCTGGTGAGATCAAGAAGGGTGAGAAGACCGTCGTTATCATCCGATATGACGGCCCCAAGGGTGGTCCCGGTATGCCTGAGATGCTGAAGCCCTCTTCTGCTATCATGGGTGCCGGTCTCGGAAAGGACGTTGCTCTTCTCACTGATGGACGTTTCTCTGGTGGTTCTCACGGTTTCATCATTGGTCACATTGTCCCTGAGGCTATGGAGGGTGGCCCCATCGCTCTCGTTGAGGACGGTGACACTATCGTCATCGACGCCGAGACTCGTGCTATCGATCTTGTCGTCCCTGAGGAGGAGGTTGCCCGACGTCGCAAGGCCTGGAAGGCTCCCGCTCCTCGATACACCAAGGGTACACTGAGCAAGTACGCTCAGCTTGTGAGAAACGCCAGTGAGGGCTGTGTCACGGACAGCGGCCTTAAGAACTAAAAAAGGCTCACGAAAGCCAAAAGATATGTCAAATGTAACGATGTAATTCCTGTTTAATGGGGTGGGAAAAGGCGAATTTAGATTTTTCTGGGTCAGAACTTATATCCCAATATTTTTTCGTTCTTAATGCCTTCAAAGTGCCTCCTCGCTAATACGTGAAAATGCTCTGGGCTGACAAAGTCTACCTAACAAGCTATAACGTAGAATGCATATCATGACACAACCAGAAAAAGACCAACCACAAGAACAAAACGCAAATCCACGAATGATTGTGGGTATCAGGCCGACTGAATAGAATGACCTCCAATAGCTCCTTGCAATGCGAACTCCAAATATAACTTCACTTCAAACAAAGCCATACCCTGCTGATCGTATCAACCACAGATCTTCCAACTCTTCCACAAGTACTTATTTCTTTCCGCTCAAAGCGTCCACGAAGGCTGCCTTATCCTTCATTGTAAGACCAACTCGCTTGACGCGGCTTAGCCTGGCGAGTGCCTCGCCTACTCGATCGAGAACACGTTGCTCGTCTGGGGAAACGCTGGAGCTAGCATCACCGCGGTTGCGTAGCTCGGACGATGAAGGTGTCACACCGTTAGTCTTTGCGGCAGAGGTATTGATCTGGCCTTCAGCAATGCGCACACGAATGCATGTCGTAGGTCGAGAGAGGAGATCCCACAAGAAGCGGAACCACTTTCCAGGTACTGGTGTCGTAATGTCGGAGGGCGTGTATCGAATGCTGACTGGGAAGATATGGACGTCGGCTGGTGTTTGAAGGATGCTAGGGCTGAAAGGCAGAATAGCCTTGCCATTGGTGGTACCACATTCGGGGAAAACAGCAATGACCTGTCCCGGGTTAATGTCCAAAAGGTCCTTGATCTCGACGAGTTTCGCATTTTTAGGGGGGCCAGTCTGCACAGGCGAGAGAGCTGCCAGAACAGCACCCAGCAAGCTCACACGCTGCACCTTGCGGGTATTGGGGTACGAAATGGTAAAGATCGGGTCGAAGATAGCAGCGAGGTAGATAGCATCGATAGGGCTCGAAAAATTGGCAGCGATAACTGAGCCAGGGTGCGGGAAACGCTCGCGGGGTTGGTCGGCGAGTG